GGGACCACAGGCGCCCACCACAACGCCCGGTTGTTTTTTGGTTGCAGCCGTCATTGTTGTTTGGCGGGTCCAGGCTGGGGATTCGAACCCGCCACCTTAGGTGTACGTGGCTGGGGCCTTAGCCGGTTGAGCTATAGGCGCCGAGCCTTAAGCTTTTTCTATTTAAATTTTTTTTGTTTAAAAACACACACACATATTAGCCTAGACCTATACAGGATCAGGATCATTAATATCACTGTCTTCTACTGCCACATTTTGTCCCACTGGCTGAAACATGCATGGCCCTTCTTTTGGAATACCTTCTGAGGGACATGTCTGAGGCTCTTTTACAGTTTTCTCCCTCTTTTTTTTTTTTAATTTAAACAGAGTCTCACTTTGCCACCCTTAGTGCTCACAGTAACCTTAAACTGCTGGGTTCAAGCGATCCTCTTGTCTCTGCCTCCCAAGTAGCTGGGACTACAGGCACCCACCACAAAGCCCAGCTATTTTTAGAGACAGTGTTTCACTCTGGATCAGGCTGGTCTCAAACTTGTAAGCTCAGGCAATCCACCCACCTTGGCCTCCCAAGTGGCTCTCTTTTAATATTAGTAGGAGTACACTCTAAAATAACAATAGAAAGTATTGTACAGTAAATATATAAATCAGTAACACAGTTGTTAACTACCAAGTATTAAGTACTGTATATAAATGTATGAGCTATACTTTTAAACAACTGGTAGTGCAGGTTTGTTTACACAAGCATCACCACAAACATCTAAGACTACAATGGAATAGCTACATCACTAGGCAATAGAAATTTTTTAGCTCCATTATTGCCTTATATTGGATACATCGTTGACCAAAATGTCACTATGTAACACATGGCTGTATTTTTCTAAGGGAGAAACCTGTAGTGATTAGATGCTACATAGTAACTCCCTTCAAATCATATGAACATTGAATCACCACCAAAAAGGAATCTATTAAGCACTAAAAACAGATACTAGAAGTCAGACTCCCACACTAATCATCTGTTTTGAAAATGAGCTGAAAACAGGCTCATGACAAAAAGCTATGTAAGGTACATAAAATTTAAAAGATTATAAAATTCAAGTCTGTATAGCCACTTGGAAAGGACTAATACTGTATAAATAAGTTTTAGGGAAAAATTTATAATACAGCCATACCTGACACTAGATCAACATCTAAAGTCAGATATCAATTTAGAATAATGAATTTTTGAAAAAGAGAGTTGCTTCTTAGAGTAATCAACTAGCATAATCTTATCTAAAACTAAGAGCATTTCTATTCTTAAAATCTGCTTACTTTTTTCAAAAATAAAAATTCACATATAGTAACACTTTATGCCATTTACTTTCTGTCTTATTCTGCTCCAAAATGCCAGTCTATATTTTCAGAATAAGAAACACAGTATATGGCTCGGCGCCTATAGCTCAGCCGGCTAAGGCGCCAGCCACGTACACCTAAGGTGGCGGGTTCGAATCCCCAGCCCGGACCCGCCAAACAACAATGACGGCTGCAACCAAAAAATAGCCGGGCATTGTGGCGGGCGCCTGTGGTCCCAGCTACTTGGGAGGCGGAGGCAGGAGACTCGCTTGAGCCCAGGAGTTGGAGGTTGCTGTGAGCTGTAATGCCACGGCACTCTGCCCAGGGGGACAGCTTGAGGCTCTGTCTCAAAAAAAAAAAAAAAAAAAAAAAAAAAACAGAAACACAGTATGCCTACCTACCTAAAGCTCTCCTTAAATTCTTGTACATAGAAAATGCCTCAAATTTCTTGATGATAAGCATTCTGCAACATTTAACAAATGTAGACAACTAAAAACATCAGTTTAACGTAAAATTCCAATAAATCTCTGCTAATGGGTGGCACCTGTGGCTCAGTGAGTAGAGTGCCGGCCCCATATACCAAGGGTGGTGGGTTCAAACTCAGCCAAACTGCAACAAAAAAATAGCCAGGCGTTGTAGGGGGCACCTGTGGTCCCAGCTACTCAGGAGGCTGAGGCAAAAGAATCGCCTATGCCCAAGAGCTAGAGGTTGCTGTAAGCTATGACACCACAGCATTCTACTGAGGATGACAAAGTGAGACTCTGTCTTAAAACAATAAATAAATCTCTGCTAATATTCACCCCACTTAAAGGTTTTTTCTAAGTAACTAGAAGTTACTAATATTGGGCTTTCTCACAATACACTCAATACTGAGAAGTATCTACCTGTTCTGCACAGTTATATTACATAAAATTCAATAACTGCCTTAGTACAAAATCATCTCATTCCACTGATCCTTTAAAGACAGTAGTGTATGTCTAACAAAAGTCAATAACTGAGTATTCAGTTTTTTTCTGAGTTGGCACAAAAATTAGGGGAAAAATCTCTAGGAGGCCCATGCGGGTGGATTGCTTGAGCTCATGAGTTTGAGACCAGCGTAAGCAAAAAGAGAGAACCCTATCTCTACTTAAAATAAAAAAACTGAGGGAAGAGGATCACTTGAACCCAAGTTGGAGGTTGCTGTGAGCTATGATGCCAAGGCACTCTATATAAAGGGAGACAGCTTGAGTCTCTATCTCAAAAAAAAAAAAAAAAATTAGGGAAATCACTTTAAAATAATAACCACCAGCACTGGCAATGTTCTAACTCTTTCAATCCTCCTAACAATCTATGAGGATTCAGAAACTAAAGCACAGAAATGTTAAATAACTTGCTCAGTGACACAGCTGGTAGGTCGACAAGTGACAATGTAACCTCGAGTAGAGGACCCATCCAGAGCCCAGCTCTTAACTTTCTAGCTGTACCACCTAAATCTAAGAACAATCACTTAAAAGGGATCCAAGTTATCTCACAGAAATCTGGGATTTTTTCATTTTGTGACAACTTACATAAATAACCATGTAAGTATTTTAGGCTGCATCTTAAATCATAAGCTATAAAGACAGCCTGGTAACAAAACCCAGCAAATGAGATTTATGTCAAGGAGTAAACTCTTTACATGAACTTTAAAATTGTATTATCACATGACCAATGAATTTAAAGCATACATTCACAGGGAAATTTTCACAAATACTTTTCAAAAATTAACAGCAAATGCCCCCAAGTAACAGACCTTTGAAACACATTCTGAGTAGTCAAATTTACCAAAACAGTATGGTAACTTACAGAACCTGAACCAAGTCACAAAGAAAATACCTCTAAACAAATCAAAATAGGTATTCCAATGTCCAAGTATTGGTATTCATTTACTTTTCTCAAAAGATGGCCTGATTAAGGCCTACTGATATTTCTATGCAGAATCACAAATTTGAATACAATTTCCAACTTTTAGTAGAATGGGAGGGTGAATGTAGACACTAATCACAGTTACAAGTACAACCAATAGTAAAGCAGGAAAAAAAGTACTTATTTTAAATAGTTTCAAAATGCAAAAGAACATTTAGATCAACAGCCCTATATGTTATCCAAAAGATCCTCATGGTAAAATAGTAATTGGGGCCACAAATGATGACCCTATATCAAACCAAAGAAGTTTCGTTATATTCTGCTTTCTATTTAAGACATAAAAGAACTATAGAATGATTTTCATCAAAAGCAGTTAAAGTGGTTTTACAATTTGATGTTTACAGAAATAAGCTCACAATTATCCTTAAGCTCAACTAATCCATTAGAAAGGAATTTGAAAGTTCCAAATAGCAAACGTTTTATTTCACTGTTTCAGAGTTCAAGAGCATTTTGTGTATAAAACTTACCTGAAAGCAGGAAGGAGGTGGAAGGCATAAAATTAGAAAGCCTAAGAAAAGAGACTAGCTAGGCAAAGGTCTACCAACACTATGCTCAAAGCAGCCCCCACTAAACAACGCGTGGGCAGAGGGTGCCACATCAGCAGACTCTGTATTTGTTCTCCTTCTAAATCATTTGTCAGTTTCATGAATTATTAATTTTAGTAATGGTTTGTTGATAAGAAACAATACCAACTCTCAACTGCAAAAAGTGATAGGGACCTCCTGATTTACTTTACAAAATCAAACTTGGGTTTACTCTTACAGAAAACACTCCGCCTTACGGTGGCACAGATTTGATTCTTTTTTTTAAGCTATTCTTAAGCTGTATTTAATTTTTAAAGGATTGAAGGAGTTAATGCCTGGCCCACACTGAATATTGTTATCAAAACAATTGTTACACTACTTAACAGAACTCCTTTTCAAAACAGGCTGCTACATATTGTGCTTTCTCTAACTCCAAACAAAACTTTAAAACACATAGTAAATAACATATAAGACCTTGTACTTTTTTCTTCTCCAGCAAGGAAGTCTAACTCCAAACAGGAAACTGCTCCTCAAAGAGTTCAACACTGAAATCCTATCAAACCCAAACCCAGTCCTCAGGAGATGGAACGATTTAAGTGCCAACACACCAGCCTAGTCTGTAGAACTGGAATAAAATAAATACTTCAGCTTCTGTCTTTAAGAGTGGGTGAGAGAGTCAGCACGGAAAAAGAAAAAATTGCCTTCTCTGACTCCCCCCGCCCCAAATATATGCATATCCTTACAAGCCCAATGTATACAAAGCCTCCCAAAATAAAGAAGTTGAAAGTGCTACTAGGTCAAGTTTTTCGCTCACCCTCCCCCATCCGACGGGAAGGGGGAGAGAAGGAAGGGGCTGAGGAAGGGAAGGAACGTCGGGGCCGATTTTAGCTGGGCAACAGGCGAGGCGAGGTGGCCGGGCTCCCCACCCCCATTCCCGCACCTTTTTCGGTGAACAGGAAAAGAGGTGGAGAAGGGAACGCGATAGGAAGCACCCCCGAGCCTTGGGACCAACTTCCCAGCGAGAAGAGCAAGGTGGAAGGTACGGCGAGGAGGGGCAGAGAGGAGAGGTAGGGGCGGGGGGCGGGGGAGAGTGCTGCAGCGCAGAGCTAAGCCCCGGCACCTCCCACAAAGGCCGAAACCCGGCTCGGGCTCCCCGGGTCAGGCGGATCCGGGCCAGCGGCGGGAAGCGCCCCCGGGGTCTCTTACCCATGCTGGGGGCTCCCGCGGGGAGAAGTCAGCGTCCCCGCCGCTCCTCCTGTGGCTTGCGCGGCAGCTCCTGCGGCAGGAGGCGGGCCCCGCGCTCCGCTCTCGCCCCTTCTGAGTTCAGGCTGGGCGAGGAGGCGCCTCCATCCGCCCTCGGCAATCGCCCGCCAGTCCCTTTAAGTGCGGCCCGTGAGGCAGAGGCGGCGGCTGCTGCTCACGCCTCGCCTCTGCCGAAGCCACGGCGGCGGGAGGACCGTCCCCGCCTGCCCAGACCGCGACTTTCCCACCCCCAGTCGCTCCCGCAGGGGGGTGGGACCTGCGGGTTCACGCCGGCCCCAGGCTCCAACCCCGAGCGCCCGCCTAGCTGCGAAGCCCGCCCCTTGCCGCTCCCTCAGGGTCAGCGGTTTCAAAGCGCGACGGCCAGGACTGTAGTGGAGACTCAAACAGAGAGGCTGGGAAGGTGCGGAGGGCCGGGCCCGGGAGGAGGCAAATCTCGCGAGAACGCCCTCGTTCTCCCTGCCCAGCCCCGCCCCGCCCCCGCCGCGGTCTGGCTCTCACCCCGGCACCCTGGCTGGTGCCGGGTA